CATGGTTATGCTGAGGATATGTCGGCCAATTTCCACTGGAAATGCCTTTTGGTTAAACTGTCAGCAAGGAATTTGCACTGTTACATTTTTATATAACTTTAAAAAACAGCTGCTAGTTTAAGTGAAAATACATTGATGGGTTTTTTGCACTAATAAAATTGTGGAGTTGTAAAGTATTTTGTCTAATGTCAATTATATCGTCAGTTATATTGTTATCGCAAATTTTCAAATGTATGTCGTGATAAATATTTTTGGTCATATCGCCCTGCTCTAATTATACGTCTACTGTAAAGTTTCGTCCGCTTTATGCGTCTTGCATTTGGATCCTTCCTCCTCTCTCTGAAATCTGTGATGGAAGCTTTTCACACATTTCTGCTCCCGTGAGATAACATATGACTGAATGAATGAGTTCTTTGTGTTTTGGCCTTGAAGAATTGCTGTCTGCAATAGCACACACCTCCTTCATTCCCTTCCTGACAATACACTGCGTTGCTTTTTTGTTGTGAACCTCTCCACAGACAAATTATACATGCATGTACAGTAGGCATGAACACATCCGCACAGCATTTAGGAAAAGCTGTTATCACAAAAAGTTATTATACTGTCGATAGCAAGTGAGCGCAAACAGAAACATTCAAAAAAAGTAGAAAACAATTTTAATAAAATGTTTAGTGTTTGTTAGTAAGGTGAACAGCACGAGAAGTCTTCAGATGAATGTTTTAACACACTGAGCAACATACCAACATTTATGTAACAGAAACTGCTCCAGCAGCAAAATCTAAACCGAAACACATAAATCCTACTGGAAATGTAATAAATATAAAATAAATAAATAAATATAAGAAGTCAAGAGAAATCTATCTTGGAAAAATGTTAAATTGTAATACCTCGTGCCTCTATACATCTTTGAACTGAACAAATGAAATGTTCAGTTCAGACTGAGAATTATTGACCGGGACTCATTGTCAGAATAATATTTAGCCTTGGCCTGCTTGGATAAGTCTAGTCTACTCTCACAGAACACACATGAACAGCATCTTGACTTTTTAATCATGTAAGTATTCAGACATTCATTTACTTACTCTGTGTAGGCACCAGTGCAACATTTATTTAGTCATGCATTTATGGAATTAAAGCATGAAAAAAGAAAGAAAACAATACAAATGACACATTTAAGCAAAGCAAAGTCTTGCTCAGTCTTGTCAGATTTGCCCTGCAAACTATTTCTTTTTAGCTCAAACAAGCAGAGAAACCAAGAGTGTGATGTGTGCGGACATTGTGAGGGTCATGAGTGTGAATGGCTTTGTGTGCACCAGGTTCACAGGTCAAAGAGCTGTGACTCCCACTGCTGTGTGCTCATGTGTTAAGACACTGCAGTGGATTTCCACTCGCTCTCGCTGAGGCCCAGAATCTGCTGCGAGAAAAAAAAACCCAAACAAAGCTTATTCAAGCGGGGCCTCAATTACGCAAATCCCATAATAGTCATTAACTGTTGGGAAAATTCTGCTTTAATTGCTCCAAAACAGTGAGCACAATTATACACGGCTTTAATGTGGATTTTAGGAAATCAATTAGTCCATTTCCATATGAAAGAGCTTATTTTATGTTTGGAGGGCGAGATGGAGGAGGTGGCTGTGTCTTTCTGACAAAAACCGCTGCGTGTTTTTTGCACCAACCTGCGCAAAAGACTTTCTTCTTTTAATTTCACCGGCTCAACAACAATGTAGGAAAGTGCCTATCGGCGTTGGTCTATATTACTGAACTCACTGCTAAATCATTGGCCATGAAGAAACCATCCCAGGAATTTTCTGAGATCATTCTGAAACCTTCCTAAAGCAGTAAAGTGCAAGCAGCTCATTAAGAGAGAGTTTCTTAACCTAGAAAGAACACGTCTGTAGTGTTCCTGTGATCCCTCTGCATTTTCCGAAGGGATGATTTGAAGCCTAGAATTTAGGTTTTGTTGCTACCGAAGCCAAAAAATCCCAGTTTGAGAAATGAGGGATCGTGCGTGGGTGATGCAAACAAGCAGCAACTGCTACAACAACAAAAATCTACCCCTCCTTAAGTATATTTATCTCCCTAATGATAAAAATAACAACAATAAATGTGACATTTCATATCTTCTTCCTCTACTTGGCGGTTCCCTTTAGAGTTCACCACAGACCCCTAAAGAAAGCGGCAACCCAGCCACAGCGGGCAACAAGCCGCTTCCCAAGCCGGGATAAATGGTGAGGGTCAGGTAGGCAAGGGCAGCTGGGCAACATGCGAATCACAAAGAAAGAATCAAAGAATAACACTAAATATGTGTAACATTTATTATATGCAGGCAAAGTATCTAAAACAGTTTTTAATTTTTAACCTTTCTTGATTGAAATGGTTCAAAACCCAGGTGCTAGGCTTTTCACTGTACTGTCAAAAAAATAGGTATAGTAAAAGTCCATTTTTGGCCCTACAGATACAAACACACAAACTCTGTAGGGCTAAATATTGGCCCTCAAGTTACTATATGAACCTTTTTTGAGGGCCAAGTAACTAAATATGTCCTCTATGTAGTAAAAGGTACATAGATCCTAGATTTTAGAGTGATGCATTAAGAGACATGCATGAACAAATTATAAGTTATATAAGTTTAATTCTATTTTAGTCTTGTACATTGGCAGCAAGGTGGTGCAGAATTGAGATCTTTTTCAGCAAATAGGCTTCAGGTTCAGCTCGTTACGTTCTTCTTCTTGTTTCCCCCCACAGTCAAATGACATGCATGTTAGGGTAAGTGGCGACAGTAAGACTAAAAAATTGCAGCACAAATGCCAAGCACAAATGCCAATTAAGTGTGTGAATAATAATAATAATAATAATAATAATAATAATAATAATAATAATAATGGGTGCACCCCTACCAATGCCAAGAATGTCAAATTTTGAAGTTTTTGGGGTTTTTTTAAATATCATTTTTTGTACCATAATATTAAGGTTGTACAAAATCTGTCACCACAGGTACACAACAAGGCTAAATAAGGACTTATGAGAAGTCATACAATAAGTTTTTTTTATTTTTTTAGAGTTTAGAAAAGACAACACATGCATATTTGTTTTGGCTGAACTACATAGGCTGGCAGTGAAATACACTAATGG